AATAATGACAATAAAAGCAAGAAGCTCTGGAGATGATCCTTCTCTGGACTCCTCCATACTGTCATTGGTGCCTGAGCTACTCCATGATGAGATATCCCACACAATACAGAGACAACCAAATTCTCTGGTATCCAGGCAGACAAAACTTGGGGTTCATATGCAGGAGAAGTGGATTTCTCTCCGCTTTGAAAGAAGAGGCAGAGTGCAGCAGACTTATTTCCTTGTTGGCAAAAAGGCACGAAATGAGGTGAAGAGATTTCTAACACCATAAAATGGGATAAACTAAGAAAACGTTCCCCATTCAACACGGGCTGCAACACTTGTGCTTGTGGCACAGACTGATGCAGTTTGTGTGTGGCTAAAGGTCTCTTGCCAAAAGGCTTCCCCCTCTCGTGTGAGTGTATCCAGTCACTGTGTTTCCACCTCTCCCCTGGAATGCACTGCTGGTGAACCTCACGGCTGTCCAATGTCCAGAGAAAGCAGGAGCTGCTCAGCCAACAGTGATGGTGTGTTATGGTGGTTCTTTGTGTAAAAGCTGGGTTGGCTTTTTTGGCCATTTTGCTTCTAACCTTTTCTTTTTTAGGCCAGCTGGCTGCCAGGTCTTTCTTGGTCATTTCCTTCCATGTGACAATGCACATTTTGTCATCCCAGTCAGGAACCTTCCTTTGTGGCAGCTCAAAGTTAATCTTGGTCACCTTACAGCTCACAAGGTGCCTCCTGAAGGTGGCTGGGACATCCGATTTCAAGATCACTGTGATGCCCTTGGCACAGCCAGGATGGAGGTGTCCCACCTAGGGAGAATCAGAGAGGGAGTCAAGACCAAATTGGAAGCCTGGTCCCTGCCAAGGTGTCCTGGTTTGACAAGGAAGTGAGTTTTCTCAGGAAGTTGGGGTCAAACCAATCAGTGGTCAGATTTGAATGCTGACACGTGGTGTGACCACTGAAGACACTGGACACACGTCTGAGAACACAGGGGGTTTAAAGCGGAGAACTCCAGGGCAACTCTCTCTTTTGTTCCAGTCAGTGAAGAGCTCAGACCTCCCCTGCCCAGCCACGGGCTGGGTGCGGGAGGGGAAGCCATGCGGCCTGGGAGAGGTCAGCCAGGGGGCGAAGGGACTGGAACTGGGCCAGCCCCTGCGGACGGTAGGCCAGGACTGACAGCAAAAGGGACTGATGTGGTGAACACCTATGCCAGGAATCTGCACCTCAGAGTGGATTTACACAAAGTTGGATATCCAAAAGTATGAACAGAAGGTGCCACCTCCCATAACATGAAGCCTTTTCTGCAAGGCTGGCAGCCATGGCCCAGCCAAGCCAGGGGCTGCATCTCCTCCGTGGCACTGGAACAGGCTATCACTGGTACGTGAGGACTCCCTGCCAGCTCCTGGGAACACCAGGGCAGGGCTTGAGCAATGGGGAAAGGCAGAGCAGTCCACACTCACCTTGGGGAAGAACTGGAATGGGGCGTCTGTCTTCCACTCAAAGCGCATGACCTTCGTACGGGTGTGGTTGGTGATGGTGAAGGTCCTGCGGCAGGGCTTCCTGACAGGACAGTACCCAAACTGGAGGTGATTCACTCTGACAGCTGTAAAGGAGGAGAGCAAGGGATCTCAGCATGCAGGAAGCTCCACCTGCCCCCATCACGTGCACAGACACCTGCATGTTCAATGCTTCCTTGCTCCAAGCCTTCCTCCCTCTGGAGGGAGTGCCCCAGGCAATTCCCCATCCCACCACTTCCAGGGAAACACCCTGACACGTCCCTAAGCCAGCGACATGCAGCACAGCACACACTGCTCTGCACGCATGGCTGCCATGCCCACAGGCCACCAAGCCCTGTGGGTGACAGCCCAGGCCTGGATAGAGGGAGGACACACATGATCAGACATTTTCCTCTTCCTTGCTACACCTCGGCAGCCTGTCCTCTCTTACCATCAATGATGTCTTTCATCAGACTGCTCTCAGCATTCCTCTCCTGCATGTCTTCCTCTAATCCACCGAGGGTGAATTCATCCCTGTGGCCTTCACCCACCAGCTCTATTTGGGTCATGCAGATGTCCCCCACTAACAGACAAATCTTCTCTTCCAGACGTTGAGCCAGAGTGGGTTT